TCCCCATCAGCATACACTTTAGACTGGCGCCCCCTTGTGGTCTAAAGGGCATAGTGCCTCCCAGGGTTACTGCTTCCTGGTGTCTGGAGGCTTCTCTTAGTAGAGCCTGGAAGTGGCTTTCTGAGAAACCTGCAGCAAAACTGGAGGACCCAGACAGGATCCTAGGCCAGTCCTGAATTTGCATAGCTGAAGCAGGCAAAAATAGGAACGATCTTGCCTGTACAGTCAAGAAGAGGCGAAGTCCTAAGCAAAACACATAGGCTGCAAGTGTGTGTGTTTGCATTCACGCAAGTCTGCAATGAAACAAGATGTTGCATCCTTCTCAAAGAGGAGGAACCCCTAGGGAATAGTTGCTGGGTCGGCATCTGAGGGCTAGTGCTGCCCTCTAGTGGATTCTGTGGGTGCCTGGCTGGGACAATCTCGGCTTAGGTGTTGCCTAGGAAATAGATCAAAGACATGCATACCCCTTTCCCTCTCCCAGCTCCAAACTCACTGACCGGAGTCCTTGCAGCTGCAGGCTTTGTCAGGGAGCTGGCCAGCCATTAGCAAGCCTGGAGGCCATCAAGGAATCCCACCTCCTCAATTAGCTCTTGTGGTCCTGGCAACACACTAACATTTAAGGAAGGGACAGCATCATAATTGCCACTACATGAAAGGGCGGGGCAAGAGAGGGGAGGGTTTTGTTGAGGCTCGTTAAAGGAAGCTGCTATCTCCATGACTGTTTTATAGATTTAGTTCTTAATTTTTCTTTAACGCTTTCTTGAAAATTGCATTTTATTTGTGTGTATGTGTCCCTGTGTGTACGTGCATGCTTGCATGTGATTCAGGGTCCCTGTGTGGAGGTCAGAAGACAATGGGAGGCAGTGGGCTCTTTCCTTCTACCATATGGGCTCTGGGGTAGATGGACCTCAGGTTGTCAAGCTTGGCAGCTCGCACACCCTTTTCCCACTGAGCTGTCACAGCACAGGGTCTCATTATGTTAACCAGGCTGTCCTTGAATTCTGAACTCTGTCTCTTCCTCTCAAGGGCTGAGATTAAAGCCATGTGTGGTCATGCCCAGCTGCAAGATTCGTACTTATAGACCCCAGAGCCCTTCCGTTGATACAGCTTCTGACAGATCCTCACCCGAATCTCCCCACTTTCTAAGTGAAGTGTGGTGGAATAATCTTTTTGTACACTGTGAAGATGCGTCTTTGCCAAGGCACATTCTGATTGGTTTAATAAAAACTAAAGGGCCATTAGCTAGGCAGGGGGTATAGGTGGGAGAGCCAGACAGAGAGAACTCTGGGAAGAAGAAGGGTGGGGCCCCCAGGAGATACAGGAGTCACACACACAAAATGGAATAGAGGCAAAAGTCAAGTGGTAGAACATAGGTCAACAAAAAATAGGGGTTAACTTAAGTTGTAAGAGCTAGTTAGGAACAAGCCTAATCTATTTGCCTAGCTTTCATAATTAATAATAAATCTCTGTGTTGTGATTTGGGGGCTGGCAGGTGGGATAGAAAAATCTGCCTACAGTGTTACTATCTCCCTTGCCCTGGCTCTCTGTGGATTGCTGCCTCGTTATCTTAGGGTTTCCATTGGTGTGAAGAGACACCATGACCATGATAACTCTTACAAAGGAAAACATTTAACTGGGGCTCACTTACAGTTCAGAGGTTCAGTCCATTATAGTGGGACATGGTGGTGTTCAGGTAGACCTGGTGTTGGAGAAGTAGCTGAGAGTCCTGTACCTTGTAGGCAACAGGAAACAGTCTGTCTCTCAGAGTGGTATCTTGAGCATATATGAGACCTCAAAGCCTAATCCACAGTGACACATTTCTCCAAGAAGACCACACCTACTCTAACAAGGTCACATCTCCTAATAGTGCCACTCCCTTTGGGGGCCATTTTCTTTCAAACCACCACACGTGTTGATGGGCTATTGTGGAGACAAGCCTTTTTCAGAACCACAGAACCGGTGTGTGTTTTGTGAGCCTTGCCACCCGACAGCCAGCACTGAAGGTCCTGGCAACATAGCAGGTCCAGCCTTGTACAGTGCCATAGGCTGCTGGGGCTGTGGCACAGGACTGAGTCTTCATGTGAACCCACAATAACAATATAAGACCCAGCTGGGAGGTGGGGGCACAAGTCTTTAATCCCAGCACCCAGAAGGCAGAGGCAGGATCTCTGTGAGTTTGAGGCCAGAGAAACCCTGTCTCACCCCCAGCCCCCCCCCAAAAAAAAACCCAGTACAAGGTCTGTCTTATGGTTCCATGGTTGTGAAGAGACACCATGACCAAGGCAACCTAGAGAAGAAAGCATCTAATTAGGGACTTGCTTACAGTTTCAGAGGGTGAGTCCATGACTATGGTGGCAGGAAGCATGGTGGCCAGCAGGCATGGTTCTGGAGCAGTGGCTGAGAGTTCACATTGTGGTCCTTGGGCAGGAGACAGAGAGATGTAACTGGGCCTGGTATGAACTTTTGAAACTTCAAAGCCCATCACTAGTGAGACATTTCCTCCAACAAAGGCCGCAGCTCCTAGTCTTCCCTAAACAGTTCCATCAACTGGGAACCAAATACTCAGATATATGAACCTATGGGGGCCATTCTCATCCAAACCATCACAACTACCCCTGTGTGCTAGGATCTGGGGAAGCATTTGCTGATTGGTAGCAGGACCATTGCCCTCATTGCCCAACCCCCCTTCCACCCCCAGGTTGCCCCACCCCCAATCAGGCTGAGGACTCACTTTCTGAGACCCAGTCCCAGGCGGGTCATTCACAATGTTTTTCAAAGATGAACTTGCTTGTCTATTAGTGAACCACTCTCATTTTATTTAGGGTGGTGGTGGGGTGGGCTCAGGTCAGCAATGTGCTGGGCCTCAGTTTCCCCATCTGTAAAGTCCCTGGCAGGGGTGCTGTCCTCCTTATCAGGCAGAAGGCTGGGAATGACATCAGAAAAAATCTGTTAGTGTATGCACAGCCCACTGCCCAGGTGGCTCCTGGGAGGTAGGGCGATGACATTCCCCAAGTGGTTCCTAAGGGTTTTCCTGTTGCATTAGCCTCACAAGAACAGTGGCTTAGACATGATGGAACCTTAGTTTTCCTTCTCTTGCTGCAAGGGGCCATGCCAGCCAGGATCTTTGATGGCACTCTCTTGTCCCACAGGCTGATGGTTGAGTTTGAGCAAAGCTGGCCAGCTACCATCACCTCTATGGCCTATCTAGAGAGGGACGAGCCAAAAAGGAATATTCTCACCCCTGTTATGTCTGCTAGCATCCTAATGTCCGGTGCTCATCCCTGATGCAAGAGTTTCTGGGAAACATGATACATGTCCCTTCTACCTTAAGACAAAGTCTAACTTGCCCTGGGGCAGGCCTCAAATTCCTGGTTCTCCTGCCTCAACCTCCCTCCCAAGGACAGGTGTGTGCTGCCTGGCCTGGCTAGGGCTCATTACTTTTACAGACTCACATTTGTAATTCTAGTACTTGGGAGACAGAAATAGAAAGATCATAGTTCAAGGTCATCCTTAGCTACATAGTGAATTTGAGGCTAGCCTAGGCTATATATGACCCTGTTTCCACAAACAAAAAGAAGAAAAAGAAAAAGAGGAGGAAGAGGTGTAGAAATGGAAGAAGAGGAGAATAGAAGGAAAAAAATAAAAAAGAGTTGGCTACACCAGGCAGGGTGTGAGGCCCTTTGGCAGGCAAGGCGTTAGGGAACTGGGGAAGGATGCAGAAAATTTTCAAAAGCTAACATGTATGCAAGCAAATCTCAGGCCACTTGTTACTGCTCAGTTAAAAACTAGCTCAGTGGTAGGAAGCCTGCTTAGCATGCACAAAGCCCTGAGTTCAATCCCCAGTGCTGCAAAAACAAAACAAAAATCTTGACCCATACAAGAGCAACAACATGCTGAGAAGCACACTCGCCACCCTAGCCTGGCCACAGAGCTAATGGGGAACCTGATGACAATAGTCTCTGACTTCCTGGTTTAAAACTAACTAAAGCTAACAGGATAAACTCACAGCGATAGAATTGGTTAGCAACTCTGTTCTCAAACATCTATCCACTGCAAAGGCAAACCAACAGAGGTGGAATGTGGTTAGTTACTGTTTCCTCAGTTGGCCTAGGAAGGCAGAGTGAAGTTTTCATGTCTGGGGTCATGCCATTCTAGGTAGAATAATGTTCCCATGCCTACTTCTATATAAAAAAATCCTTAGGTGACAAAGCCTGGATGGGACAAGTTGTTTTTCCAGTTGGCCCTTCTGGAGCCTTCCTGAAGGAGGCTGGCCATGCTTTCCCTGAACCACTTCACTAAAAGCTCCCTTTGAAGGCCTGCCACTTAAAGCCACTTCCTCCATCTCCTGCTCATTTTGGTTCTTTGTCTGGCAAGAGGCTGTGGGAGAGATCCATGTTCTCCGGGTTCTCTGATAATGCGGCTAGACTCAGCCATCCATGGCTTTGGTTCCATCAGCTTTGCTGTCCAGATGCAGAATCAGGGGCAGAGTTAAGAGATGGGAGAGCTGGCCCTGCTCTAAAGGGCCAGCAGCATGTCAGCACAGCCTAGTATCTTAGTGTGTGTTGTTGGGCTGAGTTATCCAGCTAGTCTCTGGGCACTCAGACTCCTGACCCTGACTTCACCATCCTTCCCTGAGAGAATCTGTTTTGAGCACTGTGGGTGCCTCTTCTGGAGTACTCAGTGTCCTTGGGCGTTACTAGTGTTGTGGTCAACATTCCCATAAAATATGGTTTCCTTTTGCTTCAAAAATGTTTTTCTTAGGGCACAGCCAATCCACCCACCCCTCAGTGTTCCTCCTAGCAAGGACCTCATAAGCAATTTTTTATTACAATGAGATAAAGACTTTGTGGTCACAGAGCAAACAGCCTGCTTCCTGCAGATAGTGCCGATCAGATTTCTTCTCTCTACCCAGCTGCCAGGAGACTTAATCACAAAGCATCTTTGCCACCTCTGTTTCCGGGGGGCCAGGCACTTCAGGTTCATGTGTTGGTTGGGAACTTGAAAGAATGGCTTCTCACTTTGTCTTTAGAAAGGAACAGGCTGTCATTAATGATAAAAATAAGGAAGAGAACCCCCTAATTGGAAAGAAACCAAAACCACCTGTGACCCTGTGCAAGGGGACACCACTGCTGTGCTTGAACATCAGCTGACCAGACTTTCCCAGGGGTGGGGCAGAGGCAGAGGAGCTAGGAAAGTGTCTTAGAAGTCAGGGGATGGCCATATTGCAAGAAATGCAAAACTGCAGCAGTTTGCTCACAGGCTGATGGGAAGCAGCGCCCTGCCTCCAGTTCTGTCACTCAGGAGATGTGTGACCCCGGGTGAGTCACTTAGCCTTTCTCGTAACAGTAACTGTAACACGGGAGGACCAGATATTTACATAACTGTGTATGAAGGGTGAGAATAGAGCCCGGCATTTCAGTAGTGACAGGAGCTTGTCATGCTGTGACTGCATGGGTAGAGGGAGGAGGGCTGATGTGAGCACCGAGGAGTGATGGGGGAGGTCCTTCTGTATGCTGTGAATATATGTTTCTCTTATTGTTTGATGATAAATGCTGATTGGCCAATAGCCAGGCGGGAAGTATAGGTGGGGCTACCAGATTAGGAGGATGCTGGGAAGAGGAAGGCAGAGAGGAGCCACTAGAGAGTGCCATGTAGCCTCCAAAGGAGCAACATGCCAGAGTATTATGGGTAAGCCACAGCCTCGTGGCAATACATACTTTAGTAGAAATGGATTAATAATTAAGAGAGAGCTAGCCAATAAGAAACCCGAGTCATTGGCCAAACAGTTTATAATTAACATAAGCCTCTTTGTGTTTATTTGGGACTGAAGGGCGATGGGACCAGGTGGAATAGAAACTCTGTCTGCAGAGGAGCCACTGCTGGATGGGTGGAGGGAGGATGGAGCCCTGGGGGATCTTTTAGCTTGGAGGGAGCTGAAACAGCTGTGGGGCAGAGCACAGGTGGGTAAGTCCTGGTGTAAAACTTCATGGGGGCTCTGGAAGGACTGAAGTGGGGGCAGCAAGGTGCCTTGTGTGGGTTGTTTAGGGCCAGCCTCTTTGTGGGCTGGGGTGTGCCCTGGCCTCCTTTTAGTGATAGAGAGGCCTGGATTCAGGGTATTGGGTATGAGGCCTGGAGTTCCTTAGGGGATGGGCCTGGGGGCATGAGGAAGGAATGCCCCCCGCCACTCTGATGGTTCTCATCTCCTTTCCTTGGCTAGCACCAGGAAATTCCATACAACCAGGTCACCTGTAAAAGGCCAGGTACCCTGTTTAGGAAACACCACTCGTGAGCTGTTTGAACCATGCTGTGGGTCCAGCCTCCCCATGACATGACTGTTGTCACAAGCTCAAGGGTGCAGCCCAGAGGATCCAACCTGTAGTGATCTGAAGATGGCTGAGACTATGATGTCTCCAAGCAAGCAGATGAGCAGCAGGTACGGGAACTCCTCCAAGTGTACTGTTGGGGAGACCAAGAATGAAGCCCCCAAAATTCAGGCATTTTCACCAGGTTCTAAAGTGTGAATGGAGAGTGAACAGAGGTGGGGGTTAGTGAGAGAGCCACCTGACACACAGCAGTACTAACTGTCACACTCCACAAACTTCTGCATAGACATCTTTGGCGTGGGGGAAGGGGACGCCCAGACTCTCTAGTCCTGTTGGACTTGAAGTGACACTGACACTGGGGGCCTGAGGCGTCATCTGCACCCAAGCTGCTGGTGTGTGTTGTTCTCTGAAACTACTCAGGAAGGGGAGCGTCAGTGAGTGTGGGCACCCCGGGGCTCACTTCCAATGAGTAGGAGGGCAGAGGTGTCACATCTGGATGAGGAGTTAGCAAACTTTCAGGGACAATCTGAAGTCAACATTCTTGGCTTTGCTAAAGGCCTCTGCTATGACAGCACAGCTGTGAAGGGCGCAGAGACACAGCATGACGGGAGGGTGCGTCAAGCTCCTGCCTGGGCTCCTTCAGGCTCTCCTCTTCACTCTATGGGGGAAGCCAACTGTCACAACACAGGGACACGTGGGCAGCCAGTGGCAAGGTCCTCTTTGGGGAGGCCTAGGACTCTCCTGCTAGTGGTGATGTGGAAAGCCTTCTCAGCAATGTGTTCCTTGTCAAGCCTTCAGCTGATGGCTGTCTGGCCAGCACCTTGACCATGGCCTCTAGATAGCTGGAGCCTAAAGCCAACCAGCTGGGCCGTTCCCAGTTCCTGCCACAGAAACTGAGAAGTGTCTATTGTGGTGGGTGCCTAAGTTTTGGGATAATTGGTGACACAGTAAAGGATAATATATAGGGGACAAGCAGGAGCCCGGTAAGTGGATGTCCTAGGCAAGCCCAGCTTAAAGTGCTTTATACTTTACTACATACACCCAACAGCTGTTTTTTGGTCTCCAAATATGAACCTGGCTTTGAAAATCTTTTTCTTTTTAATTTATTAATTTTGTAATTTAGACAGCATCTCATTATGTAGCCCTGACTGGCTTGGAACTTGCTATGCAGACCAGATTGGCCTCAAACTCAGAGAGATCCACCTACCTCTGCCTCCCAAGTGCTGATGGGTCTGCCATTCTTAGAGCAAGTACAATCCTCCACCCTGCCCCTCTGAGTGAGCCAGGATTCAGTAGGCATGGGAAATTTGGAGGGGAATCTCTGCTCCTTTCTCCATCCCCTAGTCAAGAGGGTCAACTTATGGGTCTGGAGGTGGCTCAGTGGTTAAGAGAATATACTTGCTGAACACTCACATGGGACAACTCATAATGACTTATTACTTACACATGTAGCTCCAGGGGATCCAATGCCCTCTTCTGTCTCCTACAGGCACCTGAACTCACATGCTGTATCTTTCCCCAGGCACAGCTACATACACATATTTAAAAATAAAATAAACCTTTTCTTTAAAAAGAGCGTTAACTCATAGGGTGCATGTCTATAATCCCAGCACTATCGAGCAGGAGGCAGGGGAGAGTGCATGTCTGCAATCTTGGCACTTGGGAGCAGGAGGTAGGGAGATTGTAAGGTTAAAGCTGGATTGGACTACATAGAAAGACCCCGTTTTCTTAAAGCCTAAAGTAAGTCTACCAGTCAGAAAACTGAGCCTGGGGAAGATGGTTTGTTCAATAGGTAAAGCATGTGCCACGAAAGGCTGATGACCTGAATTTTGTCCCTGTAACCCACATGAAAGTGGAAGAAGAGACCCCCCCACTAATAAATAGGACCTTCAGAACTTTCTAGAATTTAGTTGTTCAAGAGTATATATCTTTTTCATTTTTCCTGATAAAACCGTTCTTAGCTTTTTAAGATATAATAAATAAAAATTTAAAAAGTCTTTTAAAAACAGTACAAATCTAAGCCAATATTTCTTCCCACAAAGACAGAAATCAGTGCTATCCTTGAACATTGGAAAATGCATGGGTCATGGTCTCCAGGACATCTCCATTAAACTCACCAGCCTGATTGACAGAGAGAGCTGGCACAGCCTAACAGGTGGGTATAGGCCACACATCTGTGACCAAGGAGGAACCCCAGCCACAACTGTCCTGACATCTGAAAGATTGACCCAGCCTCACAGACTTAGCATAGGAACACTGATTGGCAGCAAGCAGGAGAGAGTGTAGGATGGTTCTCAGGGGGCAAAGTGGTAGCATATTGTCTGTAGCTCCGTCCCTGTGATGGTGTGAATGAGAATGGCCCCCATAGGCTCATATATTTGACTACTGGATCCACAGATGGTGGAACTATTTGGGAAGGATTAGGAGGTGTGACCTTGTTGGAGGAGGTGTGTCATGGGGCCAGGATGGCCTTAGAGGTTTCAACAGCCCATGCCAGTCCAGCTAGTATTCTCTCTCTCTCCCATGCTTATGGATCAAGGTGTGATCTCTCATCTACTATGTAAACACAGTGCCTTTGTGCTTGCTGCCATGTTGCCTGCCATGATGGTCATGGACACTAATCCTCTGGAACTGTGAGCCCCACATTAAATTTATTCTAAGCTGTCCTGGTCATAGTGTCTTAGCCCAGCATAGAAAAGTTACTAGAACAGTCCCTGAGGTGATGTCAAGCCTGTAGCCCTCTGTCATGTCATGGCTTGAGGAGATCTGGACTCTCAGGACATCTGCAGAGTGAAGATGACCCATCAAATGATTTCTCTTGTTTTGTGCATGCTGGTGTCAGTGTGGGTGCAGGCCTGAATGGCTGCCCCTCTCTGAGTGGCTCACAGAGCTGCAGGCAGCTCCTCCAGAAGGCTGTGTAGCGAGGAGGACTGAGTAACTGGGCAATATGGAGCCAATCAGGAAAGGGAAGGGCTGGCTAACTGCCACTTCCTCCAGCTACAGGGGTCTCAAAGGTTAGATCATCATTCTGGACAACCCTTTCCTCTCGGCTCATGCTCTCCAAGCCCAGGTCCTTATGACAGTTTCACTCACCAGCTTCAGGGTGTTATTCTTTCTTCTTTTCTAGCTCTAGACTCCCAACTATAGCACCACTTGCCTCTTGCTTCCAGATCCACCCTCATCAGCTGCCAGCAGTGCCAATGCCTGCTTTCCAACTTGGTTAGGCTGCAGGAGCCTGAGGAGGTCTAGTCTCATGTTGTCAGCGGGGGGCGCTCCTGCCCCATGGAACCTGCTGGCTCCCAGTGGGGGCAGGGCTGCTACAGCTTCCCAGCG